ATAATATTAGTTGTAAATGCTTATAATGCAGTGATAAAGTACAATATTGTATGCTAAAAAAGGTTAGCAAATGCTTATTTCGAAGCTCTCGAAGCTCTCGACCTTGACCTCTCTAAGTGGCTTTAAGAATCTGTTGGACTCCTGGCAGGGACCAATGCAGACATGTTCCTGTTTTTAGTTTTCTACATTCACCTTACAATCTAGCTGTTTTTTTGTTACTTATTTTAGCCATCTTATTTGTAAAATAAAAAAAAGTAAAAAAAAATAAATAAAAAAAATAAAAAACCTGTATGCCTTTTTATAACTGTCTATTGTTGTCGCTGTTGTCCACATTCTTTGTTGAAATCAGGTCTCTCTTGTAAATGAGTCCTCGAGGCTTAATGGGATTAACTTGTCTTAATAAAGGTTGAATGAATGTTTCAGTTCAGTGCCCTGAGACGACTTCTGTTGTGACTTGGCGTATATAAATAAATTGAATTATCAGGTCTTGTTAAAAACAATTAACTCTAGATGGAATGATGATTCACTAACATTTATGAAGTGATTGTCACATAAAAGACATTTAACAAAATATTTAAGGACATCCCTTACAGAAAAAGTTAAGTTTTCACATGTGAGCTCACGTAAGAAGTCATGTGACCAGCTGTGAGAAGTGTTTCACATGTTAATTTAGAGTGTTTTCACGTTTAAAATAATGGAATTTTCTACAAGTAATATTTGTTAGTTTTTTCTGGATTGATTTATTTATTTTTGTTTACCTACTGACCTTTGACCCTCAGGCCCACCGTGCGGTGCTGGCAGCCAGCAGCTCCTACTTTCGAGATCTGTTCAATGCTGTAGGGAAGAGCTCTGTGGTGGAGCTACCTCCAGCCGTGCAACCACAGAGCTTCCAGCAGATTCTGGCTTTCTGCTACACGGGACGCCTCAGCATGAACATTGGAGACCAGTTTCTGCTCATGTACACTGCTGGCTTCCTCCAGATCCAACAGATCATGGAGAAAGGCACAGAGTTTTTCCTCAAGGTAACCTGATAATGAAGCAGTGATCTAAGAATCCAATTTAAAACACAATGTTAACTGGTATATTTGTATATTTCTGTAAATATGGAAGCTATGCAAATGGTTAGTTTTAGGTTGAAATGTTCCAGTGCATGACGATCTGGTGGAACGTCATGTATGTGCATTTGTTTTTGACTCATAAATAACTGAAACATCATAGTAACACAACCGGTTCCATATATAGCTGCACACGATCTGATTAGGATTAGTGTTTTACTGTATGAATCTGCATGTTAATGAAGGGAACAGCTTTCGTTGCATCTCCAAATGCAGATTTTAAGTTAGGTTTAAATTGAAGTATGTTTAATAAAAATGGAAGAAAAAATATCTTTGTATGACAAAAGTTGTTATTAAAGATCAAATAATAATGATCAACAATGAAAGGGCCAAAACTAGATGTCAAATTTTGTCAGTTGTTAATAAAATGTCTTACTTGAAACTGAAATATAATAATCAGGTAAGGATACACGATATTATCGGCGTGGTATCGTATCGGACAATATCAGCGATAAAGTTAAATATCGGACATCGGCCAATCCGTCAAAATAACTCATCAGTTTAAATGCTTCTGTTTTAAATTAATTTTTAATTTAAGAAACTGTCAAGTATATCTATTAACGCACTACTGCTTGTGCGCTTTCACTTGTCACATAAATAGGTTGAGTTTAGATTTGTGAAAATTTACAAATTTGCACTGTTATTGTTGTCATTGTGTTAGCGTAAAGGTCATGAATAAATTTGACATTAAACATAATCCAACTTGGAAGTGTTACATCATTTTCAGCCCCTTTTTGACATCTGCATTTGGTAGCAGGCCAAACTGACAAAGACCACGCAGAATAATGTAGTATTTTAATCCCACAGCAGAGAAAGCTATGTAGTCTCTGTAAGTGGGTCTAGGGGAAAAAATATCGGTATTGGTATCGGTTATTGACCAAATAAGTTTTAGCATATCGGCGTATCGGATATCTGCCAAAAATCCAATATCCTGCATCCCTATAATCAGGCAATATAGTTATCAACATAACAACAACTTTGATGTCTTAAATTAAGAATTGGCAAATACGTTTACAAAAGAAAAAAAGATTCAATATGTTTTCACTTGTCAGTAGATCTGCACAAGTGAACAATTAACAGATTCCAGTAGATTGTCACAAACAGCTTGTCAACAATATTAAATTTGCAAATCGTGCGTAGCTCCATTCCCCTTAAAGCTCATGGTTGATTCAGATGATAGTGGCCAGGTATTGCAGTCATGATATTCATAAATGCACCTAATAAAATGAGTCATTTTTCTTGTTTATTAATGTAAAGCTTGTAAAGATATAACTAAAACATTTTTTTTTGTAAAAATTGCCTGAATTAAAAGCAACTTTATTCAAGGCAAGACACTAAAAGCTACACAAGTGTTAGTGAATACAGAACGGTTTTATCTCTAATTTCTATTTCATAACGTATTGGGACAGAAATATTAAACAAAAAATAGTAGTTTATTTTTTATACTCTGAGCAAATAAACGTGAAATTCAAGCACACTAGATTCGCTTCAACCTAAAATAATGCCCTAAACTAAACTTCTAAAACTGATCCTTCTTTGTTTTGCCTCGCCTCCAGGTCTCCTCTCCAAGCTGCGACTCGCAGGGTCTCCACACCGAGGAGACCCCGTCCTCTGAGCCTCAGAGTCCCGTCACTCAAACAGTGGGAACGGGTGGAGTGGGCGTTGCTGCTGCTTCTGTAGGAAGGCCTGCTTCTTGTCTGACGCCCCTCCCCCTGGTGTCTAAGGTTAAGACTGAACAGACCCCCGCTACACCTCAGCCAGCGTCACAGCAGCAGGTGAGCCCGTAACCGCTTAGAACCTGCAAAGTGTTGCTTCAGAGATGTGTTTAAAATGACTTCTCCAGTTTATTCTAGTTGTTTGTGTTAAACCACTTCACAATATTAACATGAAAACAATATGAATAATCCTAAATACTTCCTTTAAAATAGTTTTCTATGATGTCAGGTGTCTGTTTAAGATTTAGATGCTCTTACGTGTGAATTGATGTGATGGTTGACTAACTTGTTTTGACTCAAGCAGTTGTGTTGTGCCTCGGCCTGAGAAGATTGGTGGCAGATTTTCTTCTCCCAGTCTTTTACGACGTTTTATTGTTACAGCAGTCATCAGTGATTGTCGTCCCAGTCAGGCGGTGGTGTTTAACCAATTCACCCCTTTGTTCCTCCACAGCAGGAAGGCTCACCATACTCTGTGGTTTGCACTCCCGTGGCCAAGAGACTATGGGAGGGGGGAAGCCGAGATGGGGGAGGAGGGTCCGGAGGCGGCGGGGGAGGTGGAATGAGGAAGGCTGCACGCTACTCGTCCTCTTCTTTCTCCTCGTCTTCCACCACGGTTCTGCTACAGGATGCCTCTGGGCGCGGACCAGCTAACTCTGCCATGGTGGGAAGTGGCAGTGCCACTTCAGTGGGAGGAGCTGGACTCAACAGTAACCAAAACAATAACAACAGTGGTGGGACCCCTGAGGGCACAAGTCCAGGCACACTGAGCATGTACACCAGCGACTCGCCCATCAGTTACCACGACGATGAGGAAGAGGACGACATAGCTGATGAGTCGGCTGAAGAGCAGTACAGACAGATCTGCAACATGTACACCATGTACAGCATGCTGAACGCTGGAGCTGCAGGTGACAGCAACACATGCTGTGTTTGTTTTTTAGGTTCTCTAGGACAGAGGTTCTCAAAACATTTTGGGTTCAGGGACCCCTTACAGGGGATAAAAAGTTTCAGGGACACCCTCATGTTTATTAAATAATTTTCTTCAATTTGTCTCTTTAATGCAGTGGAAATATTTGTGTAACAAACACTTAAGACCTGTTCTTTAATAGAGTCAGTACAGTTTTTATACTTTTAAACACGGGGCATTTTTCATTCAAGACACATTTAATTAACAAAATTGTTAATTTCAACTTTTAATAATTACAGTTTTGAGAAAATTATCAGTATCAAAAAGCACTTTAAAACTTTACCTCTTCACATAATGAACATAATAAATGTATTGATATTTCTTTAAATTATTCCAGAAAACTCTTTACATAAAACTGAACAGAATCGTAACAGCGGGACTCATACCAAGTAGCAGGGCTTCATTTGTAAACTGATCGTGCCGGAAAGTAAATAGCGGTAGTGGTTCTCTCTTGAGTTGCATTCAGGTCCAAAAAATCCAACCCGGCCCCAGCCTGTAGCCATCATTTCCGAACCCCACCCGACCTGACAAATTAACAGTAATTACAGGTCTGAACCTGCAACTGCCCCCCAACATTTTTAATTAAGCTTTGACTCATTATATAGTTATTAACGGTCGGTGGATGCGTGCAGCTGAGGGGGCAGAAGGTCGGAGCTGAGGGGTATGTTTGTCCTTTCATGGCCATCAAAGCACATTAAATCCCTGCTTCTGCATTATTCAGACACGGACCCTGCTCTGACATGTCTGAGGATATTTTGAGATCTCACCTGATTACGTCCATTTGAGGATAGATCACTGGCAGTAGTCCATCTGAAGCTTAATGTAACTTTTTTTTTTACTTCTTTAAACTGACCAGTCAGCGCGCGGTTAAATGGCCGCATGCGGATGGTGATTGTGTGGCAAGCTATGTTGCCATATAATTGGATCGTCTGCCACGCGCATCAGCTGATGCAGTCAGAAGCCTGACACCGGCCCAGCCAAGGTTCTGGTTTATGCGAACGTGTCAGGAGTGGAGAATGTAGTAGAACCTCCTTAAGTTTATGACTTTTTATCCTCCAACGTTTCTCTGAAATCACATTAGTTTAGAAGAAAATGCTGAAAATGGCCACATTTGAACAAAATTTAGATAAATTCAGATGAATTAACAAAAAACAATTGTATCAAACTTTTTTTATTGTTTAGTCATAGAGACTTGGACAATGAGGACATTTTTTAAAATGTGTTGATTTGATTGTTATTTTATGATTTTTACAGGAGGGTGTGTTCAAAAGTTGTTTATTTATTTACTACAATGCTTAAAAGTGTTGAATGATTTTACAACTCCCCCTTTTCTGTCTAAACAAGCTTAAAAAATATTTTAACTATCATGTGTGATTTAAAAAATACAGAAATAATCTGTCACTATGAAACATTTTCCTCAGTAAATGTTTTGGTTGTTGAGACAGCTGACCGTTGATCTTCTGTTTATTAACTAACCTGTTAGTCAACTAATCTTTGCTTAGTAATCGAATCTCAGCTGAGCAGCAATAAGATTAGTCCGACATTAGAATTGAAAGTTATTAATAGTTCAAATGAGGGCAGTGTCATGTATTTTGGATGATTCACAATGTAACATTTGTACTGAGCATCACGCTGTCAGGTACTGAAATATTTGATTTGTGTTTTGTACCATTCCAGAGTATTCTCCCAGTTTTACAAAACAAAGCAATCCAACGTATTTCACATGTTTTTCTAAAAGAGGGATGACAAAACTTAGTAATTAAAGCACCACTGGCACCATTTACAGCCCTAAATGCAACAAAGAACAGCAATAGCAATTATCTTTCATCCCCAGTGGTCGGGGAGCCAGTTGAGGCTCTGCCAGACTTGGCTCCGGATTCAGGTGGCGGACGGGGAGGCAGAGGGGGGCGGTCCCGGCAGGACCTGGCATCGCTGCCCGCCGAGCTCATCAGCCAGATCGGCAACCGCTGCCACCCAAAGCTGTACGAGGAAGGTGACCCTGCCGAGAAACTGGAGCTGGTGAGCGGCACCTCCGTCTTCATCTCCCGCGCCCAGCTCATGAACTGCCACGTCAGCGCTGGGACGCGCCACAAAGTGCTCCTCAGACGGCTGCTGGCAGCGTTCTTTGACAGGTCAGAGTCTGAAAGCATTTCATCAGCTGTCATTTCCATCAACTTTGTAATCTACAACAGTTGTTTGTCATTTTAACAATAACAGGAATCAAATGAAACGTATAATCAAAGTGCTCTATGGAAGGCTTTAAAGAGTGCAGATTGTTGAGTGCAGATTTAAGTTCCTTTAAGTTATGATGATTAAATCAAACGATGGGTTTGCTTTTTTTAAGTCTGGTAAAACGAGTTGTTATGAGAGTGAAAACCAAAATATTAGAGCCGAGGGAGAATTATTCCACTTTGTAACCATTTTCGTCCCTCATCGTGAAGCGAAAAGAGAGATTTGGAAATACCCTCCGTTCGTCTGTGCATGCTGTGAGCGTGATGACTTGGGAAAATAAGTGAGTTATCAACTTCCATTTTGGTGTGTGGGTGCATCTACACGTAAAATTATTCAAATATTGGGTTGCCAGGTCAAAATCCAAGTTGGCTGCCGCCATATATACGTTATATGTGAATTTTGTTGTTAACTTGAAAAAGAAGCAACAGGCCAACTATGTTTTTGATGTGTGGCTGCATCTTGGCATAAGAAAGGTTCATTTTGAAAATGGATTTGCTACTTCAAAATCCAGAATGGCCACCACTTATATATTTGAAAACCAGCTGCCCCTATCATTTGAGGAAACTATGCTTTCTAAATTTTATTCTCATTTTTATATTTGAGATGACTTCTGTTGTGACTTGGTGCTATATAAATGAACTGAATTGAGTTTAATATTTTATATTGATTGGGGTGGGTGGTGTGGTGGCCAAGATTGATCTATGACGGCCAGGGCCACCCCCTGGCTCCGCCTCTGCACCTGGTGGTGGATAAAATTGCTTCCTTCACTCATCAGGATCCATCACTATGCACAACAACAGACAAATAAAAATAATAAACTACCGCACTTCTTCTACACAGTGTAACTCCTACTCACTTGAATATCTTGCACCAAAAACATTTAAGGTTTATGTGCATTCCCTGTTCAATTCCAGTCATCTCCAAAACTCCACACATTCAGTATTCAGATCCCTCAGTGATACTCCTTTTTAAGATGCAATTAAGAATACATCGACATTTATTACCAAAATATTTAATAAAGAACACAGTATTTAGGGGCTCATATCAACTTAATCTCTGACACTTCCGTCAGAATTTCATCTGTGTTTAGTCAAATAATAAGAATGTTTATTTACTTTATTTATAATCTTTCCCCCCTTAAGACACCTTATCTCCAATTGCTCCCCGGGCGCTTACATAGCTGCCCTCTGCTCCACCTGCATGTATCTCAGGTGTGATGGGTTAATGCAGAGAACATACAGTGATGACAACACACACTTACTTAAAAGTCAATGTTTCATTAAATAAAATGGTTTTAAGAAAGTGTGAAAAATACTTATTTAGTTGACAGTTTGGTTAAAATTGCTTCTTGTGTTAAATTGTCTGCACTTGTTCAGGAGCACTCTGGCTAACAGTTGTGGAACTGGCATCCGCTCCTCAACCAACGACCCGAGCCGCAAACCTTTGGACAACAGAGTGCTGCATGCTGTCAAATGTGAGTCACACACAGACGACGCTTGGGAGAGTAATAGTGAACGTCTTTCACAAAGTTTTTTTTAAGCTGCTGTATTGCTAACAGTGATTCAGAGGGGCATTAAAAAGCATAAAAAGTAATTAAATTGATTTTTCTCAATTTAAGGCCTTAAATGGCATTAAAAAGCATAAAATTTAAAATCTCAGTGTCATTATCTTTTTTTTATTAATTGTCAAGAAGAATAAGATGAGATAACTGTCAGAAGATTGTGCGTTGGGAGGGAAAACATGCAAATAGGAGCAGAGACAAAAGGGGTCAATTAAAATTCCAGCTAATGGGGTTCAAAGATGAGGAATTTGGGGCGTGGCTGCAACTTGTTGATGGGCAGGATAGCAAAGGATTTTGCATAGTTTGTTAAAAAAAAAAACGTTACCAAAGAAGAAACCTTAAGGTTAGGCTGAATGAACCGATGAGACAAGAGGGGTTGATGTCAACTACTCATTGATGTGCCGCCAAGTGAGGTAGTAACAGAGCCAAAACGGCTGACGTGAAAAGATAAGCTGGTGTTTTGATTAGCCTCTGCAGTATCGTACACAGCCTGATTCGGTCTCTCTCTGGGTGTGACTCGCTGTTTTAAGTAATGACATCTGGTCTGTGCGACCACCAAACAACGACAAACAGATTACCGAGGGAAGGTGATTGATGATGCAACCTTCTATTTAATTGTAACTATTTGTTAATTACAAACAGAATCACTAAACCGAGTTGATTCATAATGTTTTGAAAATGATACGAGGGAGACGTCCATATTACGTTTGCGCTCCATGTTAACACAGCTGAGTTCTGCTCCGCCCTTCTTTTGGGTCCACACTTTAAAAAGGTAGGATTGAAGGGAAAACGCGAGATTCAAAAATGTAATACCGTATTTTCCGCCATAAACGTCGCTCCGTCCTATAAGTTGCATCAGTCCAAATATGTCTAATAAAGTGGAAAAATCCATAAATACATTGCTTCACCGTATAAGTCGCATCTATTATGCGTCACCTCTGATGTGTCACGTTTGTTACGCGTCACTGCTGACAACCCGGAAATGTGTGCCGGTGTTGTGCCAAAAAATCAATTGGCTACCAAATGGCGGCCACGGGAGCGTGCATGGGAGGACTTTAACAAGATTAACACCTAAAAACAACTATTTGTTTGCTTGAAATTATAGTAAAGGTGTGTCTCAGTTGAACTTTTACTTAATAAATGCACTTTGACAGTCAAATCAGCTGCATTTTCAAAAGCCAAATTGTAGAAGCGGGCGCGCGCAAAGGGATGTGTCGCTGTGCATTTCTTCGAAATTTAACAAGATAAGCACCTAAAACGATTGTTTGTTTGCTCGACATAGTAAAGGTGTGTCTCGATTGAATTTTTAATTAATAAATGCACTTCAATGGTGAAAGTAGCTGCATTTTGCCGGGGTGGCGCGGCGAAATGAAGCTGATTTGACGGTTGCTCCAAGCGAGCTGAATGACGGTGGCAGGCTATGGCAAGCCGATTGTGTCATTAATAGCCACTTTTATCTATTACATAATACAACGGCATGCCTTACTACTCGAGTGCCATCTAGCGGCTGATAATGGTAGGGTTCAATATTTTCAGCCAGAATGAATGAAACAGTCATATCTCAGCCAAAAATTTGTTTATTCATATGGGAAAAATCCATAAATATGTCACTTTGGCGTATAAGTCGCAGGGCATGCAAATTATGCAAAAAGCCTGTGCCTTATAGGGCGAAAAATACAGTAGTTTATGCGTTCACTGTCAATTTTATAGGCTGATTTCTGAAAGAAAAAATCTAAGTTAAAACTTTTGAAGTGAAACTAATAATTGTGGTCCTTCTGTCTGTGCGCCCTGTTTTCCCCTCTTTTACCTTCTATAATTTCCTCCAGTCTACTGCCAGAACTTTGCACCGAGCTTCAAGGAGAGCGAGATGAACGCCATCGCAGCCGACATGTGCACCAACGCTCGCCGCGTCGTCCGCAAGAGCTGGATACCCAAGCTTAAACTGCTGATGGCCGACAGCGACGCCTACTCCGCTTTCCTGGCTGACAGTGTGAAGATAGAAGCCGACGCCCTGGGGGTGGAGCAAGGCTTTGACCCCGCCTCTCTGGAAGCTGTTACAACAGCACCTACTGCCAGTAGTAATGAATCTGGAGGCGGAGCTATGACAGCGGACACCATCCAGGGGGCAGGAGGAGACGGCAGCACTTTGTTTTGAGTGAGTGATCGAACACAGACAGACTGATGGAAGGAGGATCGACGAGGCGAGAACATTGACCGCTGTGATCGTCGATCAGGTTATCACGCCCTCCCCAGCTGCCACGTGGTTGGGGATCTGTTTCTTCTCTTACTTTTTGGTCGGTTTCTTGAGCTTTTCTTCTTTTCCTTGTCCATATTTTTGTCTCTCTCCATAATTTAGAACGTTCCTCGTTCTTCTGGTGGAGATAGACTCAAAAACACGGAGCAGAGTAAAGAGGTAAAAACTAACATGCCCCACCCTCCAAACCTCTTTAGTCCTCTGCAACCCGTTTGTTGCTAACTTTATTTTTTTTATATATATTTTTAAAGCTTGTATGATCACTAAGGCCCTTTCTAAAAAACAACAAAAATATCATAATCATAGACATTCCCTGGGGAGGGTGGTGATGAGGGGTAATCCTATTTGGAGTGATATTTCCTCCCTCAAAACTCCGGTAACACTGTTGTTTTGATATTGAATGTATGCGTGACGAAGCATCCGAACTTCAGCGATGTAAGTCAGCGATGACTGAGTGATTGTGCTGAGCCCTCCATGTTTGTTTGGCTTTATATCATCGTGAGGGCTGAGATGGAGGCTTGTGAGAGTACGGTGTTGATGAGGCCAAGGGTTGAACTGAATATGTATATCCATGTGATTTATGATCTCTTTTTTTAAACTTTAGCTGTGGAAACTGACCCACCATTTATTTTCATTTATTCGGAGAAAGTTCTGATTGGAAAGAATCGTTTTAATTTGCTGGTACGTGTTAATATTTATATGCCAAATAGAACAAACAGCTTTGCTTGGCCTTTTTCTGCCCAAACTGCTTCCATTTTGTAACCCTTAAGAAAAATCCCTTTGTGTACCTTTTTTTTTTTTTTTTTAGCTTTTTTTGCCACAGCTCCTGAGGGAGAGGAGTTATGTTACAGATGATTGTCAAAAGGTTTGTGTGAGGTAAATGCACTGTTATTTCCTGCGGTATGAATACAATCGAACTGAGTTTTTGTACGTATCAGGAGAAGAAGAGGGGCGTTTTTATTTAAAAGAAGAAAATATAAAAAATACTCGTGAACTTCCACTTCCTATGTTTACCATCCACTTTTTTCTTAGGAAATCAGAACAAAAGCTTAAAATTCTCCTTAACCAAGTTTCTGCCTGTGAGCCCACTAACTGTGTGTGCACGTATACGAGGATTCATTCGTGCTCGTGTTTAAACTGATATCATTACGAAACATTCACAGCCAAGCTGTTAACGGCACAGGTTTTCTCAGGCGCTGCTGTCTGGTTGTGTGCTCTTCTGAAATTAACAAACGTGCTAATGCTTGGCAGGAAATGCAGCTCGGTGAGGATGTGTAGGTGTGTGTTGAATGGACTGTTTGTGTGCGTGCTGCACAGAGAGGGCGGGAAGTCAGACGGCGTGTTTTCACACACGCTCGGTCGATTCATTCACCGTTCAGCGCGGTGAGCTAATACACGTTCAGGTGCTGTCAGCTGTGTCGGCCACAGGACACCAGAGCGAGTGGGAATTAAAGGGGAATTACACTGAAGCATGCACGGGATTCAGCTAAAATATGTTTGTGTTCCTGGAGGGTGTGCTGGCTTGGTTGTTGCTGAATCATAGAGAAAAGTCCTCTGCACTGGTTGAGAGTTTAATATGTTGGTTTAAAAGTTACATTCCTGGTTGTGTTGGGGTATGATAAAATATAAAAATCCAAGGTCATGGAAAAAAAGAGTTAGCCTAAAAACAACTTTCAAAACTTTTCTAAACATTCTCTTCTGTGCAGCCGTCATCACTCTCTGCAAAGCAGACTGTTGGAGTCAGCCTCCCCACCATCACAGACATATACACCTCCAGATGCAGGAAGAGAGCCACCTGCATCGTGAAGGACCTCACTCACCCAGCACACACACTTTTTGCCCCACTCCCCTCAGACAGGAGGTTGAGGAACATTAAGTGTAGAACCACTAGACTGAGGAACAGCTTCTACTCTGAGGCTGTTAGACTCATGAAGCTCTAACCAGAATAATCACTGTGAATAAATCACATCATGTTGCTGCTGATCCGTTTCATGTTGCTGCTGATCAATTTCATGTTACTGTGTTCATTCGTGCTCATCTGCTCACACAGACTCATGTTCGTGCTGCTGTTTGGCGTATTGTGTTTGTACTACTAGTGCTTAGTGTTTTTTTAGTTAACCTTTTTCTTAGCTCATATCTTAGATCTTATTACTGTTTTTCTTTTACATTTTATACTTTTCTTGGATGTAACTGGGACCCTGTGTACACAATTTCGTTCCACCACATGTTCCACATGTAGTGTGAATGACAAATAAAGAACCTTGAATCCTTGAAAGAAACAAAAGCAGAGCTAGATATTTAAGACGTGGCCTTCAGAATCCACAATGACTGAATATGATCATCAGCTAAACGTTGAAGTAAAACTTTAAAGAGTATCCAGATGAACTGGTTATTTAGTCATAAATGACAGTAATAATGACAATATGACATACAAAGATACAAATTTATCAATTTCTATACCAAATGTTTTTTTTTTTTTAAGGTTCAAGGTTCTTTATTGTCATTCACATCATGTGGGACATGAGGTGAAACAAAATTGTGTACTCAAGGTCCCAGTTACACTCAAAAGTTGCAAAAGTATAAAAAAAGAAACAGTATACAAGTATCTAAGATATACGCGAAATACTAATAATGTCAAATAACATGGTGTATTAAACAGCAGCCTGTGCATGAGTCTGTTGTGAGCAGATGAGTATGAATACAGCAGCTTAAAGGCAAAAAATCATCAGCATGGATAATCAGCAGCACAGATAAAGTGGCATTACAGTAATTATTCTGGTTAGGGATTTATGAGTACAGCTTCAGGGTAGAAGCTGTTCCTCAGTCTAGTGGTTCTACACTTGATGCTCTTCAACCTCCTGCCTGAGGGGAGCGGGGCAAAAAGTGTGTGCGCTGGGTGAGTGGGGTCCTTCATGATGCAGGTGGCCCTCTTCCTGCATCTGGAGGTGTAAATGTCTGTGATGGTGGGGGAACTGACTCCAACAGACTTCTGTGCAGCCTTCACCACTCTCTGCAAAGCTTTTCTTTCTGCAGCTGTGCAGCCTCCATGCCACACATTGATGCTCTCCACTGCACACCTGTAGGAGGTGTGTACATGACAGAACAGTGCAACTTCAACTCAGGATGATTAATTCACAACATTTCAACTCATCATATGACCCCAGACACTGAAAAAACTTTTGATAACTTGTCCTTCCATAAAAAAAAGTTAAATGACCATCAATAACTTTTAAGAGGTTAGATTAAGGCCCCAACATTATTCCATACGTTACTTCCGAATATGTTTGTTCTCTGTTTCGAAAAAAAGATTTCAAAGAAAGAAGAAATTCCAACTAAAAATCCAATTAATACTTGTGTCATGCCATTAGATGGTAATAACATTGACATTAATCACATGAAAATACAAAAGAAGAACAGTCTGAGCATGGACAAAGAACATCTTAGCAACTCTCTGCAACGTCAGAAAAAACTCAAGTAAAAACAGCTCTGTTGTTGTTGTGGTTTCTAGCACACAACGCAGTGGTAGGTGTGTGAAGTAGGCTTTTTTGCCATTTGTCAGATCTGTTTGTGAAATCTGCACAGAAATGCCAAAAACTGTGTTCTGAAAAATGCCAGCTTTGAAGAGAGTAAAAATAAAATACGTTCCCCTATTAAATCTGTTTGCATGTGGATGAAATGTGCAAACGGTAGAAAAAAAAAACATGTTTTTGCAAATATATCTGCTAGTGTGGACGGAAGAGAAGTGCATTTTGTCACTTTGTACAAATTGTCAGTTAAAATGTAACAACAATGAGCCGTCAGTTGCTAATACTCAATTTAAATATTGTTTTTCCTAAAAAGCTAGTTAGATCTTTGTTTTTAGATAATTTTTCAATTCAATGTTTGATTTCCTGCGTTAAAATTTTTATTTGACTTTCAATCCAACCTGTATGCAGTCTTACAGATCTCATACTTTTATATTGAGAATTTAAGACTTATACTGAAAGTGGAAAGTTACAAATTTTTTGTTTGACTTCTAGTAGGGTGTTCAAATTTTACACTAACATCTGTTATATGGTCTAATACAGGGGTCTGCAACCTGTGGCTCTGGAGCCACATGTGGCTCTTTGGTCTCTCTGCAGTGGCTCTTTCAAGCTTTGAACAAAACTAACAAAACTGAATTTTATTGGTTGTTATACAAACAACAATAAATGACTAGGTTTAGCTGTTTTTCCTGTCATTTCTTTTGTACATATGCACTTTAACGTTTTGTTTTATTTCTATACTTGTTTTTTTCCACAATTTACAAAATCACATAGGTTTGCATAGTTCATACACTTTTTAATTAAAAATAATAATTTCCCCTCTCTACAAGAATCTGGTCTTTTCATTTATCTTAAATTGTAAAAAAAAAAAAAAATCCATAAATGTTGAAAATCATGAGGTATTTTTAGCTTTATAATGTCATCCCTACTGGCCACAAAAGTCTCCTCCAACAAACCTAAAGTGGCCCATGGGCCACCAGTTGATAACCACAGTTGTAGCAGGTTGGACACGTTGAATTTAGTGAACGAAGGCGTAATAATGGCTCTTTTGATCGTAAAGGTTGCAGACCCCTGGTCCAGTATACCAGTAATACCACAGCAAACAGTTTTTTTTATAGGTAGGCTCCATTAAAGTCCCTAATCTGTTACAACTGTCCAACCAAACAAATGGGAAAGTGTTGCTAAAAAAAATACCACCTCAACACACTTATTATTTTGTTTGAATGTCTTTGTATTTATTCTAATGAGGAAATCTCGTGCACCTTATTTCCTGTGTGGCATCAAAAGTTGAATTTGTTGAAAGTTACAGTAAAGTGACCTTTGAACTTCGCTCCAAGTTTTTAAACCTGCTCCGGATTAACACACATCAACAGTGTTGGACAGAGTCAGAGCACTAAAC